AAATGGGGTTCAAACAATGGCAAAGTCTCTTTTAATCAGACAAAGAACTTCCAGAAAAATATCAAAATATGTCCAATGGTATCTTATTAGTCTTAGAAAAAACTTTTGGTTTTTGGAAAGATGCTCAACTCAATTTTGTCTGCAGTCTGTTCAGAATATTCTAAACAGCTTTTACAACACTAGGCAGCATGCTTTGGACTCTGATAATGTCATTTTTACAATGGCCTCATGTTGGGATACAACCATACCTAGAAAAACCATTCAATCCTCTCTAAAAATATTATTTTACAACTGGAAAATGTGGAAATTTGGCTCCCTGTTGACATCATGTTGATGTTGTAGATCTGTGGAATCAATTCCTTGTGTACTTCTATATGGAGTCATAGCCAAGGAAGTTTCGAGCTATTTTACTACCAAAATTCAACTTCAACCCCCTGCTTTTGAGAACTCAGTTATGCATTTTCAATACTAGAGAAATAATTCCAAATAAGACCAGAAGGGTCAGTAGAAGAGTAGAACACCTTGCAGATTCTTGGGATTCAAATCAACTACTCGAAGCTTTTATTCAACGATTAACACCAACAAATATACCTCATGTCTAACCAACTTTGTTTTTTACATTTTTATTTTTTTGTCCACGTCACTTCCATTTTTGTCCAAGTTACATTTTTTTCCCTCTGACTCACTTCCTTTTTTTAGTGTGATAAGATCCACTTGCATATACAATATTATATGTAAAAAAAGACAAGGTTTTAGCACAATATGGGTTGAGCTTGATTCTGTAGCTTCCATACATCTCATCAATAGAAGCTCTAAGGGTCCTTGGCATATACAACATTGATTGGAAGAAGTACGCGAATGAATGGAAAAATTGGACATCTCAATATCTCATATCCAATTGGCGAGAAGTTAATGTGAATTCTGACATCGGGGACGGAGCCAAGAATATTGTCCGGCATAGGAAAAATTTAACCAAGGCCGGATTTGAATTTTTGGAGCCTGGGACAAATTTTAAATTTAGGCCATTAAATTATAGTATGCAATATGCATTCGAAATTTTCTTAACTAATCTACAAAATCAAAACTCAATAAGCCAATAAACAAAACAAAATATCCAATCTAAAGTAAAGTTCGGCCATGAATTTAATTATGGTAAAAATATAAAATAATATTACGACAACATTAAAACTGACATAATTTATAAGTTACACTTGTATATTCATCACCATTGTTTAGAGCCTGACCTAGACTTAAGGTGACTCCTTCCTCTGCATTCAAATACCCTTTGTGCCTTGATTTCTTGAATCTTTCTTGTGTTTTAGTTCAATTTTTACTATTCTTTGGTGGAAATTGAATTAAACATATTGAATTTTACTTGGTCCTTATCTTTTCTGGTCTTGGAGAGCATACTAGTTCATTTATTTTCAAAATTGCAAAGTTTGGAAGTGCCGATTGATTCCTTAACTCAGTTTGAGGATTCCAGTTAGTTTGGTGTTTCCGGGTTTGTCCTTAGTGTTTTCTAGTCATTCTTCGTTCAGGCTAGTTTGAGTGCTGCTTCTTAATCGTCCAAAATCTCTTTGATTTTGGGTGGTTATACCTGGTTTTGTTTCCTGCCTACATTGGTTTCTGTTTGTGCTGGAGTGTTCTTTCAGTTTTGTTCTAGCAGTTGTCATTCAGCTGAGTTCTCTGCTTTAGTTCTTCTTTTATTCTAGTGAGTTCTTGCTGGTTCAACAGAATCCGATTCGAGAGTGGATAGAGCAACTGTCCAATTTCGCTCGCGGGTGGTGGATTTCTCTCTCATTTACGAAAAGTATGGAATCTTGAGTTACTAATTGGTGGAGATTCTCGAATAGGGCAACCTTTCAAACTGCTGCTGAATCCATGGGTAGGCAAGAGACAACCTGGCATATTAGATCTCATAGAGTTCAATTCTCGTTCTCAACCCATAATCAATATGAGCTCGTCAGGAGTCCATTGATGAGAAGGGGCTGGGGAAAGCTTGAACCCAATTCCAACATACTCGATCTCAAAGATACATATAGAATTTTGCAGAAAGTCGTATTTGATGAAAGTCGTATGTACTGCTTAATTGATAAAGGAAGCACCGTAAAGATCAATTAGCAAGGTTTTGGGCCGATATGATAATAACTGCGTACGAAAGAGAAAAAAATGTAACTCAGAAAATAAATATTAGTCTTAGCAAAACAAGTTAGTTAGAGCAGCGGGTGCTGTAGCGAAACTGATTGCAAAAGAGGGAAAATCGACCACATTAAAATTACCTTCTGGGGAGGTATAGTGCGCTACGCACCTTCGACGTTGGGGAAGACAAGGAACTTATTTACTATTTCCAATTAAATAATTTGAATTCGAAAGAATTAATAGAATTTGAAATATAAATAGAGAAGTGTAACAAAAAGATTTCTTGACGCGGCTGCTTTTGGTTAGTTGTTATTTGGCTCTCTCACTAGTTGTTTCTTGCTGGGTTCACCTTTGTCGGATTCTTCTCTTTGCCAAGTGTTCTTGGTTTCTGTTTCTGTATGCATGTATATGTATTCCTGCAAGTTCTCAGATTTTTGAAATCGGGCTCTGGTTTTCTTGTTGGCGTGTCAGTGGTTGGTGGTTGTTTTTGGCAGATTTGGTGGCTTCTTGACAGGGTCTACTCTAGTTTTTTGATTATGCACAGTCCTTTGCTGTTTCTATTCCTGGGTTTTGGATCCTTTGCAGATTTTTGGTCAACTCCTCTACCTGTGGGCTGGGTATTTTATTTGGATTCTTATACGGTTTTGGGCTGCGTTCTCCACTAGTGGACTGCCTTTCCCCCTTGTTGGGCCTTTTTCTTGCTGTTAGTTATGGGTAAAAAATCGGCCTATAAGATTGGGCTCTTGTCCAAGTAGGCTTCTATTGGCCATGGCCAGTCTCAACATATTAATTTTCAGGTTGGTTCAGTTGACCCATTTATTGGCTTGCCTTTGGCTTCTTCTGTTGTTTCCTCGTCGAAGGAAATTATTCCCTCCCTTCGAAGATCCTTCATTTGGCTGCTTGTGAGTCCCCAAGTGTGTCCCAAACACTTGGGGATGAGGATACGGATTCAGTTAGTTTCAATTTTCAGTCTCGTAAGGCTGAATTAAGGAACCAAAACAAGGTAAATGTTGTTGGAATTGTTGACGGGAAAGAGGGTATGGTATTACTGAATTCCTAGGTGACCCGGCCCATCTCCTCCCCATTCTTGGGCTTGTGTTAGGCCATCTGTATTGGTTTTTTTTATCTTTCGAGATTTTCTGTTACTGGCCCAATTTATATCTCATTTTTGGTTTCTAATCTACTTTGGGCCTTTCTCGTCTCCTTGTGGGCTGTCTCACCACCTACTGGGTTTTTTTGTTTCTTTTGATATGGATAAGAAAACAGGCCTTGAAAGTGGGCTTAATTCCAAGAAGTCCCCCACCGTCCTAGGTCAGTTTGGACACATTTCTTCTTAGAATGTTTCTGCTGGACTTGTTAATGATCTTTCTTTGCCCTCTTGTACCACTTCCACGTCCAAGGAGGTATCCCCCCTTCGAAGGTACTTCATATGGCAGTTTGTGAGTCCCCAAGTGTGTCCCAAACACTTGGAGATGAGGATACGGATTCAGTAAGTTTCAATTTTCAGTCTTATAAGGCCGAATTAAAGAACTAAAATGAGGTAAATGTTGCTGAAATTGTTGATGGGAAAGAGGGTAAAATTCCATGGGTTAACCTCTTTAAAGATAATAGGAAAATGGAGGAAAACATTAAGTTGAAATCCTTCAATATTCAATCGGAATAAGTGATCTTGAGTGAGTTGGATGAAGACAATATTGAAGACACTGGGGGATATGGTCTTGTTGGATATTTTGCCGGTAGGTTTTCGAGAAAAGTGGCACTACAACAATTATGTGATTCGTGGTAGGTTGATTATAAATATTATGTGCATGCGAGTGATTGGTTGGCGTTTAAATTTGAAATGGATGTGAATAGGTTAAGTGTGTTGCATGGGGGTCCATACTTGGTATATGGGAAACCGTTAATTCTAAAAGTCATGCCTCATTACTTTTACTTCGATGACAAAGATGTTAGCACTATGCTGGTTTGGATAAACCTACCGGGATTGCCTTTGGAATTTTGGAACATGAATGCCTTGGGTAAAATTGTTTCCAAGGTTGGAAAACCCATCTCAACCGATAAGGTTACGAAAGCTAGAGGTCGACTTTCCTATGCAAGAGCTCTAGTCGAAGTTGATGCTTCTATTGAATTTGTGCGAGAGGTAAAGATTAGGATCCCAAATGGCACATTGAGGGAACAAGAAATTGTTTTTGAGCATGAACCAAAATTCTATGGTTCCCGCTCTAGGATGCAACTTTAAACATGTCGAGGGGTACAAAGGTAAGGCAAAAAATGTGGTGCCTTCTAATGTCCCCATACGGACTGCACAAGGTACTAAAGGGTAGCTTGGAAAATCCACTTCAACCTCAAATTCTGGGCTCTCTCCAGTCGAGACAACATGTTGTTTGCTAGAAACCATGCCATAGGACACTTGTGTCTCAGATGAGCATCAAAGGCAGCCTCTTAATCGGAAAATTGAGCACTTACAACCTGAAGTTGTGGATGTCCAGCAAGGGAAAATTTCAGCTAGGTTGAGGGCCCATTCGTTGAAGTTGTAAGCAGGAAAAATAAGGTTGGTACTGGAAAAAAATCTATGTGTGCTGGGCCTACTACAATTGGGGTAGATTCTTCATCAAACCACAAAGAGGCAGATTCAAAATATTTTAGAAACGAAAAGCTCGAAGGTAAGATTGATGACCAAAGGAAACCAGGAATAAAAGTTGACAAGAAAAAGGGTAGATCCCTTGCTTCAATATCATGAAGATTGCATCTTGAAATGTTAGGGATATAAATCCCTCCCTATAACAAAATGGGATTTGGGATTTTATCAAGCATCATTACATTGATATTTGGGCATTTTGGAGACTAAGTTGGGTGTTCCAAAGTTGAAGAGAATTTTGCGGAACAAGTTCGATGGTTTCATGCATGTAAACAATTTTTGCACTCATAGAGTCGGGCGGATCTTGATCTTGTGGAATCCATCCAAAGTCATATTTGATGTGATGAGGTTAATCCACAAATCATCCATTGTAAAGTTACTTGCAAGGTAACATTTTATACCTTTCTTGTTAGTTTCGTTTATGGATTTCATACTATGGTTAATCGGAGGCAACTTTGGAGTAACATTATGGAATTTAACGCTAATGTTTCGTTGCCTTGGATGATTCTTGGAGACTACAACAATGTACTTAAATTTGATGAGTTATGTAATGGTGCGGAGGTTACCCCTTATGAAATTAAGGATTTGCAAATTGTTGCCTTCATGTGGGCCTTACGGATGTACGCTTCATTGGTTGTTATTATACGTGGACTAATAATTTGGTTTGGAGCAAAATCAATAGGGCAATGGTCAATGATATTTGGGTACAAAATAGGGCATATGTTGTTGCGGATTTTCTACCTTCCGGATGCCTTTCCGACCACTCCCCATGCATTGTTTCCATTCATGACCATGTTGGAGGCACTAAAAACCTTTCAAGTTTTTTAACATGTGGACTAAGCATGAGAACTTCCATGAACTTATTCAAGCTTGCTGGAATTTTAACGTGAGGGGGACAAAGTAATTTATTCTTTCCAAGAAGTTGAGCAAACTAAAGGGAGCTTTGAAGGAGCTTAATACAAAGCATTTTGGGCACATTTCGACTAGGGCAAATGAGGCTAAAAGTGAATTGGAGGCTGCCCAATTACAGCTCCATAATCAGCCCATGAATTAACATTTTCAATTTATGGTCGCTAAATTGAGGAAGAAAGCCATCGATTTATGTGAAATGGAACGTAGTTTTTATTATCGAAAAGTAAAGTGCATCTTCCTTAAGCAAAGTGACAAATGTACAAAGTTCTTTTACTCGGTGGTTAAAAGGAACTCAAGGAGGAACTTTATAACTACTATACTCAAAGAGAATGGGATGTATACTACATCACAAGACCAAGTTGTTACAGAATTTGTCCAATTCTACACTACGTTGCTGGGAAAAAACTGTCCAACTTGGCCTCTTGAGCTGGAAATTGTTAGGAATGGTTCTTTGGTTTCATTGGAACAAGGTAACTCCTTGATTCGGGACGTTTCTTATGAGGAGATCAAAGTGGCACTCTTTGGTATTGGAGATGGAAAGTCTCTCGGGCCGGATGGTTATACTTCTTGTTCTTTTAAGAATGCATGGGGGACTGTTGGTGATGATTTCGTGGGGCTATCATGGAGTTCTTCTCTTCGGGTTCTATCCTCAAACAAATCAACCACACAATCATTGCTTTGGTGCCTAAATCTGCTCATACACCTCATGTTGGGGATTATAGGCCTATCTCTTGTTGTAATGTTACTTACAAAGTGATTGCAAAAATTCTTGCTTCTAGATTGAGGCCTATTTTGGGTAATATTGTGGACCATGCACAGGCCACTTTGTGGAAGGTAAAAGTATCATGGAAAACATCCATCTTGCCCAAGAACTCATGAGGCAATACAATAGGAAAAGGGTTGCTCCGAGATGCCTCCTAAAAATTGATCTTAAGAAAGCTTACGGTTTGGTAAGTCGGGACTTCATTAAAGGTGTGCTTGAAGGGTTGCACTTCTTTCCGAGATTTGTAAAATGGGTCATGGAATGTGTTACTTCTCCTACATATTCCGTAGCTTTGAATGGGAGTATGCATGGTTTCTTCAAAGGAGGGAAAGGCGTCCGGCAAGGTGATTATCTCTCTCCCTTTTTGTTCATGCTTTGGATTGAATATTTCTCATGAATGCTTAGGGCTACCACAAATGATAGTGATTTCAATTATCACCCTAAATGTGGCCCCCAAAAGATCACCCACCTAGCTTTTGTGGATGATTTGATGCTCTTTGCTAGGGAATGTTACATCGGTGCAAATTCTCATGGATTGCCTCTCAAATTTTGGTCTTGTATCGGGTTTAAGGTTGAACGTCCTGAAATCCAACTTGTATACAACTGGTATTAATGGACAAGCGCTAGAAGATATCCTTCAAATTACAAATATCCTGAGGGGTACTGTGCCATTCCGATATTTGGGCATCCCTCTTGCCTCGAAAAAGTTGAAAGTTAGTTGTTATGCCCCATTTCTCGATAATATGACAGCTTATATCGGTGCTTGGAATTGCTCTTCACTTTCTTATGCGGGCAAAGTGGAACTTATTAGGACGGTTCTTCAAGGCGTTGAATGTTTTTGACTTTCTATCTTCTCTATCCCAACTACAATTATCTCAAGGATTGTTAGCTTTTGTCGAAAATTTCTTTGGGGATCTAAGAAGTCTTTGGTGGGTGGAAAGATCTTTGCCGCCCAAAAGATTAAGGAGACCTCGGCTTGAAGGACTTGAAGAGTTGGAATTTAGCGCTACTTGCTAAATTCCTTTGGAACATTCAACATAAAAAGAACACTATTTGGATTCGCTGGGTTCACCAAGTGTATCTTAAAGGTGCTTGCTTGCATTTAGGAGGTTCGTCCTAGGAAAGATCACTCTCCACTCTTTAAAGAATTGTTGGAAATCAAAGATCTACTTCTTCATAAGGTTGCTGGTCCCCAGTTTCTTGCACATGGACGGGCGGTGATACCCGTTCCGATGGACAGTGAAAATAACCTGACTGTATCTGCTGATCTAGCCTCTATTCAGCAAGCTGTGCATACTCAAATCAGGGGCCAATTTCAGGTAAATCTGGATAGTTTTATGGGTTAGCCGACTGCTCATAACAAGAAGCAAATACTAGGATTTCTGGGCAGTTTTTTTGGCTGGGAGACAAGCCCTAAATTCAGTAAAAAAATGGCCTACGATTTCATTAGGTCGAGGGGTACAAGGAAGACTTGGGCAACTGATGTTTGGAGACCTTGCATTACTCTGAAACACTCTTTTATGCTTTGGTTAGAGGTTCAATCAAAGCTCCTAACAAAAGATAAATTGCATTTCTTGGATATCGATCACAAGTGTGATTTTTGTGGGTATATGGCGGAAACAATTCATCACTTATTCTTTGAATGTTCTTTCACTTTGACATTATGGGGGAATATTAGACAATGGCTCGGAATCAAAAGATCTATGTCAACACTCGCTAGCACTCTGAAGTGGTTGAAAAAAGAGGCCCGAAGTACATCATGGCTTAGCAAGGCTAAGCGGATTGCACTTGCAAATACCGTCCATTACATTTGGTTAACACGTAATAGGAAGATTTTTGAAGATCTATCACCTAATTTGGATTGTATTGTGAGACGGATCAAGACATACGTATACAAAGTTATGTTTTCTTTGCATTCGGATGTCTTGACCAATTTCGAGTCCTTAGCATTGGGTCACTGACTATTTTTGCACTTCACTTTTGTTGTATCTCTCGAGTATGCCCAGAGTAATTGTATGTGATATTGGCTTCTGTTTTTGTCCGGGTATACCCAGTGTACTTGTACATAAATATTATTTATCAATGATATTTACATTTACCGATAAAAAAAAAAAAAAACCCTTCGTGCACCCATTGCCATAGACATGTATTCCCACGGTTCACCTTTTCGTTTCTCCCAAGACAATTTTTTATAACTTCGTTTTTGATATATTAATGGATTTTTGTTTGTTTAATAATTCTAAAACAATCAAAATGGTGGAAAATTGTGCGTAAAAGTTGATGACTGTTCAACTTTGCGCCAATATCTTTATGGATTCTACGAGTTATTTTTATTATGACCAACTTGCATGCAAATTCTGAATTTATTTTATCAAATTTAGGATTTGTTTGAACTACATTATTTTCAAAAAAAATACATTCTTTAATAGTGATTTGACATCATTTCAATCACATATTTTTCAATAAAATAATATTACACGAAAATCTAAAAAAATTTCTTATTTTTTAACCACACATTTCTCATTGATTTGATATGAATAATACATTTTTTTCCTAGAATGTGGCTCAAACATGGGCTTAGTTTATAAAAGAACGAGAAGTTAGCGTTAAAAGTATATTCTACAGAAGAATTCAAAATAATTAAGGTTTACTTTATCTCATTAAATTCAGTTATTATTGTTATTTTACAACAATTTAGTTTGTTGCTTATGGAGGAAGCCCTATAGTTTCCATGTTTATTTAAGTTTAGACTCCATATAATTTCTTCGTAATGAACCACCTTTGATCAATGAATAAAATAAAAGCTTCTTCTTCCAATTCTCTATTTTCTCTTTCCCAATCTCCATCTCGTGTTCATATCTGGTTGCTTGTCTTCCTCATAACAACGTCTAGAGTGACACTGTTATCATGGGAGATGAAACTGAAAAGTCATAAAGGAAAAGTGACTTTTTCAACAATATGGAAGATAGAAAGTTTTCAAACTGCCACTTCTCGGCACCATTTGTATTACATGGGATTAGGGCTAGGCGTGGGTTAGGTTGGGCTGGGCTGGATTGAATTTTTTATCCAATTCAAACTCAATCCAACATGGTCGATTTGATTTTAAATCAAACCAATCAAATCCAATTATTAGTTTAAACACAGCCCAACCCAAACAGATCAAGCTTGGGTTGGGTTGGTCATTTTGGGCTTTTGCCCAATTCAAATTGAATTCGATTATTTTTTGTTGAATTTAAACAATTTTTAAAGTTTGAAAGAACTTGAAAATCTCCATTATTTTTAATCCATATAACGAATTCTTTCTAAAAACTAAGTTAAACAAGTTTGAAACTAAGGAACATTTTTTTTAATGATTTTTTGGAATTTATTCATTTCATTATCATGTCCTTAATTTTTAGTTTATCGTCAATTATTTTGCGTTTGTACATAGTGTGGATGTTTTTACATTCTAAATCCTTCTCTTGTCTTCATTATTATGTCTATTTATGTTTCTCCATAAAGATAATCAAATAATACGAACTCATTTTAATTCCATCTTAGGTGAACACAACACAACTTGTACACTTAAATGGCACTCAACTACAACTAAAGGCTTTCTATAACAACTTACTCGCCTTCCCATCCACCGCTACATCTGACTCTTTTTCCCTCTATTCAGATGGTGTAATTCAAATACTAGAAAATTAGAAGTATTAATTGTTAAACTTCAAATATCAAAGAAAAATCTCCAAGCATGAATACCTTTGTTGAATAGATTCTTAAATAAGTACATGGAAAATCCGTCAACGTCAGTTTGTGATGTAAAATTGACACTATAAATGAGTAGATACATATAATATCTGCAAGAAAGACAGAATCTTCTCCATTTGCCTGCTCTTAAGCAATTTATTTGTTTAGCCAACTCATATGACGGTGTAGATGCGCTGAACGCTATTTTCACATTTAAGGTCACATATATTACCTGCCTGAATATTGTTTTCCTTGCAAAATTGTTTCCATCCATCTAAAAATTTCGTAACACCCAATGTGTCAGAATAGCACGTAACGGGCCAGAGTCTGCCAACTGCATCTCTAAGGAAGATAAGCTGCTTGTCCCTTCCCTTCTCTTTTCCTTCAGTTGGTGGATTAGATATCGACAAGTCCTACAAAATCAAAACAAAGATGTCAAGAATTTGATGCGATATGGTTTAAAAGGTGTCCGGCTGTATTAATGAAAGGAAATAATTTTTTGTGTTTAAACTCCCCATCTAAAAGCTTAAGTTATTTATAAGAGGGGATACATTTAAATATTTAAATTTAGACTTAAAGATTACCCCTAAAATGTGCAAATTTCTTAAACGAGTAGCAAGTACGCTTGAACACAATTCATAGGTGTGCTCTGATACCATGTTAAATAGCTTCATCTAAAAAGTTAAGTTTTTGGATGGGGGAGAAATTTATTTTATTTAAATTTAGTCTTCAACACTGGAAAGCAAAGCTACGTGCTGAGTGGCCATGTTAAACTATACAATATTAAATATAAACTTAGAAGAAAACGACATATATACAATTTGAACCAACGTGGCAGAGTATTGTTTTCATTCTATCAGTGCATAGCAGTAAATGAGTAATTAGTCACCACATTACAACAGAAAAATGCGTATTTGTCAGATTTGGTTTTCTTGTATGTAAAAAACTAGAAGGTATGGCTGGTTTTCATTGAATTTAGTAAGACTTCCGTTCCCAGCATATCACTATTCCAAAACTCATTTTCCAAAAAAACAAAAAACAGTTTTTAATGGCTGCCGAACAAAGGCTAAGTATAAGATAAACCCACCATAACGAGGATAGAACTGCAAAAAAATAAGCACGAAAACTTCAAGTGCACAAACTTCAGAAAATTCGAGGTTATCAATTGTTGATTTAGTTTCACAATGAAAAAGATAATAATGTGTACATGATTATTAAGAAGTAAAATAAGAAGGCAAGCTAGTGGTAATGAAATTTTTGAAGGACAACAACAAAAAATTGAGGAATCCCTTCAATTTTGAGATTGGGGAGGTGGGTGAGTCGTAAAAGAATTGTTAGTAACAAATAACATACCCGGTAAGATTGAGTAGCAGGTTCTGTTTTTACAGTGCTCTTGATATCTTTCACAGGTTGCAGAGGCATTGGAGCACATTCAGTTGCCATATTTTGCTCTTTTCCTGTATAAAATCAATGAATTCCACATTCAATTAATAAGCTTTAAGTTTACGTGCACATCAAAATTTGTTTCTATAAGCTTTAAGGTACATGTTCATCAAAATTTGCTGCCAAACTTATGTAAATGTTATACCCCAGGTCCAATCGATTTATGTTGTAAACACTTTTAATATGTTTAATGCATTTATTTTTGGCAAGATCTATTATTTATTTAAATCAATATTCTGATGAATAATATTAAATAAGAGTCTGTAGATTCAAGTTTCAGTAATTTGCTAATTACAAGGAGTTGGGATTGTAAAATACAAATTATGCATGTTGGATCTTAAATAATCCATGGCCGTAAGTAACAACGAGAGACGAATATCGTTATTACGCATAGACCATCAAATGTGACATTTTTTACTTGTGAAGTAAGTAGTTGATCTCACAAGTTAAAGTATGATGACATTTAAATGAACACGTGGATGTTTTCTTATAGAACAAAATATTGGAGACCCCCTGAAAGATTCCACATGAATAATTATCTGAGTATCAATAATTAATCTCTAACATTTGATAGTTAAATTGGTCATTTGACTTGAGGTCATCATAGTGCCTTATATGAGGACAGTCATACTTTGACGGTGTTAAATATTGCTCTGCCAAGGCCACTAATACTACACCATTCGAGTATGTCAAGAATCGTATGAAAGTTGTGAATGATCAATAGAGATTTCGTTACTCTTAGCTAATAAGATATTAAGATTTACATTTCATCCAATTAAATCGATAACAAAATCATTGGCCAAGGTTTATTCAGAAGTCGAAAATGAGTTTTTGACTTATATTGACTTAATCGTGGAATGAAAGATATACTCGATAATCGAGATTGACATACTTTCATATCTCGTAATTGATCGGGTCATATTGACAAAGGAATTATAGTTTCACGGTAAACGAACAAGTTTGATTTTGTCATACCACATGACATTATCCGTCACATGTATTGCCCTAGCACATCGTTAGATGTCAATCTCGGACGGAAAATGTAAATTGGTGATAAATTAAAATGATGTTTTAATTTATTAATTTTGATTAGATCAAAATAATAATTCATGTGGTTAAGTATCATGATTGGGAACTTGATGGGTCGCACACAAAAGGAGAACTAGAAGATTGTGATTTGTCAATTAATTAATTCAATAAGCTGGGTAAATTAATTAATTGGGTTGCTTACTTATAGGCCCGAATTAGTTAATTCATCAACCGAATTTAATTAAATAGGTTAATTAAGTATTGGACCAAGTCAAGCCAAACCCGTTTGGACTTATATAAATAAGTAGTTAGGGTTTACAATTTTGTAGAGAATTATATTATTCCTATTAGCACATGAGGAGAAAACTCAGGTTCCTACAATCTTGTTCTTTGTGTGGAATTTCATTAAAGGCTAAATAATTGGATAGTTATAGGTAACAGATCAAGGTTGCTGAAATAAAGAAAATGCAAAAGAGTTTGCAGATCTAGAAAAAAAAAACCTTTATCACAATTTATATTTAAACACAAAGCGAATTTTCGGTGGGAATTGAAATCTATTTTATTTTTCGCTATGCATAATAAATAAATTCCCAACAACTTACGTATAGAGGATTAGATGAGCCTAAACGCAAGTATATAAATAAAAAGCAATTTTAACCCTTTGATCAAAATAATGACAAAAGAGCAAACCTAATACCCACCGCTTAAAGTTTGAGGAAGACCAAAAGCTACCTCTCCCTAACAAGCTATGATGCTCGAACTCGAGGTACTGGTATTAGCTATGAGTATGTATCTAAGTGTTAGATCTTTTATTTTCTAAAATGTAGGATACAGAGATATGGTTAAAAAAAGTCCAAATTTCGGACACGGATACGTAGGTACGTCTTTGAAACTTCAATTTTTTTCCAAAAATTCACATGTAAAAAGTTAAATTATATATTGTAATTTATAATAATTATCCCCCATAAATTTACAAGCAAAATCTTTTTATTTGTTGTAGGTGTGATTGCATTTTATATATTATAATTTATAATAAGATCAATTACTTTGGCGGCCCATTTATAAATGGTCCAATGAGATTACTTTACATGCATGTTTATAAACACTTTAAAAAAATTATCTACCGATAATCATCAATTTTATAGGACTAACAATTTTTTTTAAAGTGCAAATTACACTACATAACACATTTTAATAAAATATTCATAAATTACATCGAAATGTTTTTTTTATCTCACAAGTAGTGCAATATTAAAGTAAAATTGATATCTTAAAAAAAAAAATCATTCCTAAATTACCAAGTTACAAAGCCTATTTTACGCCACTAAACAATCCTCGAATCATTCCCCAGTCCAAGATATTGCTAAAAAAGGAAAAAAAAATCATATCAAGACTTTAACTATGACTCATTTCAAAACTAAGAAATAAAGTTTAAAATTTCAAAAATTAGATGTTATTAAATTTTATTTATGAAATAATTAATTGAAAATATTTTATTAAGTAAATATATTAAGGTCACAAATCTATACAATTTTAACACAAACTATCGAATTAATTGGTACAAATTATTTATAGATCACAAATTAAAAATTTTATAGGTCACAAATTATTTCTCGATCATAAATAAAAATTTATATAGGTCACAATTTATTCATGGATCACAAATCAAAGTTTTTATAGATCACAACTCAACTATCGATCACAAATTATAAAATTAATTGGTCACAAGTAATTTTTTGATGATAACTTAATAAATTGTAAGTCATGATCACATTTTTTAGATTATGTATTATTTATTGGTTACTAACCAATTTATTGAACACAAACACCCCCATGCCATTCCCATCCAGCAGCACCACCACCACCACCACAACCACCACCCCCTTTACTATGCAAAACCACCACCATCGCACACAACATCAATGCAAACCCACCACCACAGTAACCACAACACCACCATACAACAAACTCCGCCACCATCTAAGATGCCATATCACAACATCACCAAACACTCGAAGCCAGATCGCAGGTGCTGTGCACACCACTAACACCACAAAACCCTCTCAAAAATTAACTAAAAACCACCGCTACAACCATCACCAACATAGCCTAACAGTGCTATCATCACCAACTCAGCCTAACAACATAACACCACCGCCACCCACACAGAAACAACCCAACAACCTAACACAAATGCACCGCTACCACCACAGATGACAAATATACTCACCGCCACCACCACATATGACAAATATACGCACCGCCATCAACATAGCCCAACAATCCATTGTTGCAAGAGCTACGATGCAGGCTACATATCGCTACCACCAGAGAGCCGACACCATCTTTGGAATGAAGCCGTCGGAGAACAGAAAAAGATGGAAAGGGAAAGACATAGTGAGAAGTGATTTTTAGGGTTTGGATGAAATTGAGTTGGTTGTGGGGGTGGGACGGAAGTGGGGTGAATTAATTTAATTTTACAAATTATTATTACTATTTTAAAAGATGAATCATCATCTGAATTTTAAACCAAAAAAAAAAAAAAAAAAAACACTTTAAAATCATATTTTTGAATTGGAAAGTTTAAAAACAGGTGTAATTTCCACTTAAAAAGGAGAAAAATCATATCTAAGACTTTAAATACAACACATTTTAAAACTAAGAAATAAAGTTTAAAATTTTAAAAATCAGATATTTTTGAATTTTATTTATGAAATAATTCATTAAAGAATAATTTATTAATTAAATATATTAAGGTCACAAATCTATGTAATTTGATCATAAATTATTGAATTAATTGGTTAATATTATTTCTAGATTACAAATAAAAAAATTTATAGGTCAAAAATTATTTCTCAATCACAAATAAAAAAATTTATAAGTCACAAATTATTTCTCGATCACAAATAAATTTTTTTATAAATCACAATTTATTCATCGGTCACAAAATCAAAATTTTTATGATCACAACTCATTTATCGATCACAAAGTATAAAATTAATTGATCACAAGTAATTTTTTGATAACAACTTAATAAATTGTGAGTTACGATCACATTTTTCAGATTACATATTATTTATTGATCATAAATTAATCAATTTATTGAGTACAAACGCCCCTATCCCATTCCCATACACCCATTACTATAGCACCATCACCACCACCACAATGCAAACCCACCACATACAACAAACTCCGTCACCATCAAAGAATTTTAAAAAACTTAAAGCCAATGGATAACATTTTAAGAAAAAGAAGAGCCCAAAAGCTCAAAATTAAAGACGAGTCGATAAATAATTTTTTAAAAAGATACCCAAAAGCCCTTTTAAAAAGAAAAAAAAAAAAGAGCCATAGTCCAACTACAACAACAATGGCAGCATCCAAGTTCCAAAAAGTTACGTCCTAGGCCGTGTCCGATTGAAAATTGTGGTGTCCGCCCCATATTTCATACCTGTACATGTGTCGTATCCTGACGACATGGGGTATGTCGGCCAAAAAGATGAGTCCGAGCATCAAAACCAGCACAACCACATCACACATGATTTTTCAAAAATGTAATGACAAGACACGAAGTCGACATGTTGATTAAATTATTTAAAATTCTTCATTTGTATAATATAAATTTAATTTTATACTAATTATTTTTCTTGTTGAAATCTTTAAAATATGAGTATCTATTTGTTATTTAATAATAACTATGAGTTAAAATATATAATATTTTCAATGAAGAAAGAAAAAATGATTGTGGTAAAGTGTCCGATAATTATCGATATCTTACATGAGTTCGACACGTGTCAGACACACTACTCTAGTTGAAGCGTTCGTGTTACAAAGACCTCTCCCATCTCGACTAGCTTTTCCTTAACATCTATTATTCGCCCACCTGTCTAATTTGACAGAAGTCCAGAATGAACCAATGGAAGTCAAACAAGATGGTGGATGAAATGACACGAAATTCAATGAACAAGATTTTTGCTTCTTTTTCTTCTTATTAACTAGCTACATGTTTGATATTCAGTACTAGTCTTATTAGATAGTACTAGACACTACTATGAACACTTTCTTTTCTTCTTGTTATTGTCAAATGTTAATAATCCAACTTATTGAACATGCCACATATGTCTAGACCAAATTATGCAACAAAGAAGGGACACAAACCTGATGGATTTTCATTATACTTGGGAACCACAGCACCCTCGCTTCCAGCTTTCTGACCACCGCCTAATGATGGAGCTTCATTGTCAGATGAAAGAATCCAACCGTTGCCTAATTTATCAGATGATCAAATGATTAACAATAGGGCCTAAGAAATAAAAAAATAATAATAATAAACTATGACATTAGTAAAAAACCAACTACCTTGAACTGCATTGTTTCTCTCGTCACTTGGCGTGTCCTTACTCATTTTTCTATTTGCAGCAGACTCTGCTGGAAAAGCGCTAGAAACATCATTATAATGGTCAATAATATGATCTTTCTCGTTCTTGGCCATTTGAATTTTATTAACGACTGATTCGGTCCTATCAGGAACTGTTTCTTCACCTCGAGAAGATATCTTACTTTTATTGGGATCGGATTCGTTTCTCCCCATCTCGAAGGTTGACAAGTCTTTTAAATAGGCTCTATCTTCTCCTTGATTGTATCCAGTGCAACTGTTGAGCATAAGAACTGGATCATCCATGATTATAGTTGGGGGAGGAAGATGCCAATTTCCAAAGTGACTTCCATAATTTGAAGCAGCTGGTGGTGTTGCAACCATTTGATCGTGCTGATATTCTGATGCAGATGCAACTAAAATGGTTGATCTTGGCTTACCCCTTGGATTTTTTTTAAGTGTTCGAAATGGTTCATTAGCAGTAATTGTTACATCTTTTTCTTCCCTTGACCTTTTTCCCAGTCTTATCTTTTCCCCAGTCTGTCCCTTCTTCCCTCGACCTTTTGAAAGGCTTTGATCATGCTGAAATTCTGACCCAGATGCAACTAAAGCACTTGATCCGGGCTTAAATTTCAATCTTTCACACCCACTTCTTCCATATATGCGGACGACAAAGTGACGACCCCTGGTGTAAGAGAATATCAGAAGTGATCCAACTTCCAGAAGATGGTCCACCGCGAATTTATGCCATCCATTCTGGATGGCCGGGTAACCATCAACAATCGATACCGTTACTGGCCAAAGTTGCCTGGTTGAGTCCTCCAGATAACTTGGTTTATCAATCACATTTGGCTCTTTTTGAACAAAATCAGGAGTCAAGTACTGCAGGCAAATTAGAAAATTTTAGAAAACATGTATTTTACCAAAGAATCGACGTCTGCATGGCAAAGTTAGTGTACCATATATGTTCGGAAAAATTCAGTTTTATGTAACGTATCAATGGGTACAGAGATAGGACCAACAGAAAACATGACTTCATGGAGAAATTAACGAAGAAATGTATTGATCAAGATATATATATATTTTTTACTCGTTTAGGCAAGAATAGAGCATCATAGAGTAAAAAATCATTTGAAGTTCGCAGTCATTAGATGAGTATAACAGGAACTAAATTGTAAAGTCAATCAGTCAAATGAAGTTATCATTAAAAATTACAGCATCTGTTTAAAGGAAAATGCTGGTGTACACACGGCTTTACACCCCCCTCACATAGAGGGGGGCCTACAAATATTTTACGTGTGGACCCCCTCCATGTGAGCGGAGTGTAAAGTCTTGTGTGCACACAGCATGATCCCTGTTTAAATTGGTGTTGGAATGCAGAAATAGAGAGGTAGTAAACTGTTGATTGCCCTAAAGGTTATCATATAGAAAGCTAAAACAAGGGCATGTAAAAGATTATAAATTTCACTACGAGATAGTAAACAATAGAAACCATATGATACCAAAACGTTTAAATAGTCGTCGTGAACCATGATTTTGAAGAAGCGGGTGACAGTAGGCGATGCATTTTTCGGCTTTTGACATGCTTCACCATCACGAACCATATTTTTTGTCCCATGCAAAGTTTTTTTCTGAAAAGCACCTGATTTGCATAAAACTCAATGTATAATTAATTACTTAATTAGAACAAAGAGGAGATTGTAAGAAAATTTACAGGGCATTAAAAATTAGAATTGAAGCTTAAATGCATAGAATCACTCAACATGGAGGAAAATTGCCATTTGATAAAAATATTTCCAGTGTATAGTTTTTATAAGCATGTTATATGCCTAAACTAAAGTGTCTTAAAAGTAACTTCTAAGCTTTACTTGCCTCGAACTACACTTTCCAACCGATCTCGCCTCATTATAGAGACTTCCTACTTAGTGGGGACTGATTTGATGAACCAATATGGAAGCTGGAATATTCGGAAAGTTAATATATTTTTCTACCCATAACAGAGAAGCAGGAAGCATCAAATCCATTATGAAGCTTGTGGCACTTTCTATGGAGGCTGTCTATCCAAGTAACGGAGTAAGACTAATTATTTCACATGGAAAATGTTTAGAGATGCAGATACGGGTGTTAATTGTGCAGAGCGGTTCGTTGGTCATAATTGAAAGACGGTCACTTTTCTTTCATTAGCAACCAAACGGTCACTTTGGTCACTATTTTTAGACGAGCTCGTGGACTCGTCAGCTCGTGGTCTGCACCCACAAACTGCTCGTAGGGCAGCTTATGGAACACAGCCCAGCGGCTAGCTGAGCGTTTCAACCTGGAGCTCAGTTCATGTTGATAAAAATGTAGGGAAATCTGAATACGTTAATGAACTCCAAGGCACGAAAAAACGTTATCTTTTAAGAGATGTTTCTCCCCTATTCAACAAAGTCACAACTGGGGTATGATAGAAAATCTCTCTCAGGATACAATGGAGGCGTTTGATTCAAATTGCGACTATTTGATCAAACCAAGAAGACACTCGAAAATAACTGATTGATGCCAAGAGAAAGAAGGATGAATAAATTGTTTAATGTGTTTGCAAATGAGAATTCACCCAGAATTTATAGAAACTGAGGCAACTGTTTGAATAGATGTATCCCTTGAAATCCTTGCAAACGTCTATTGGAAGTAACTGTTAAAAATGAACAGATGTACCTATTCAAAAAATTTTGAAAATAAAATTCTCTTTCGGGGGCGTTGCCCCCGAGCCCCCACAGGGGGCGCTACCCCCTTGCCAAGTTCAGGTCGAACCCAGTTGCGCAGCGGCAAACACTAATCCGGGCAGCAAATCATTCGCAAAACAAAAAATTAAACACATGCAAAATGATGAAAAATATCTAACAGTTCAGGCCCAGGCTCATAGCAGCCCAGCCCCGATGAGCCACTCAGTCCAATTGCCACCCCTAGAGATGCACTTCCTATGTTTCAAAGACGTCAACAAAGACAAGTTCCAGTGAGTGGCCCTCGTAACAGATGTGGGGAGGGATAAAGGACATTATGCATGCTCATAGCAATGTGAGGCTGTAGAGGAGTCTGGTGCAGGAGCCGCTTCGCAGACTTGATACTCAATTACACAGGTCATAACTTGGCGATGTGCTTAAGGCGTGGAAATTTTAGTTGGCATCTGAAATGGAATTCCTTGGGGTCATTATGTGGTATTGCCAGAGGAACAGAAACACAGACCAATTTGGATGTGTATATTGACCACCAGAAAGAATATTGAATGATGCAGCATATTACATTGCGGAATATCAAAAAAGTAGTCCACGTTGCAGAATGACTGCAGAAATGCTGTGGCTGCTGTACACATGCCTAATCTGCACTCCCCTGAAGGTGATCTCATCGGCTGCATCATGGATTTGCGTGTTCTCTTATTTGTAGGGAAGCAAGCGGCGTAGCATAAACCCTTGCAAAAGAGGCACTCTTTATGTATCAGAATAGCGTGTGGATCGACAATTGCCCAATCTCCATTTTAAACCACATTTATACAGATATGATTGAATAAAATACAGTTGTTTCATCAAAAATAGAAATAAAAGTAAATTCGCAGCCTAGCCAAACAGAATTATAGATTTAAAAAACATGCTTTAAAAGTTGTTCCTTCGATCTTACCCACTTCTTAAAAAATTAATTTTACTTCTTTTTTAGGCTTGTCAAACGTGCTCTAATTCTACTTGATACTTGTAGGCCCCGCCCAAATTGGACTGGGATTACTAGCCTAATCGGGTAAATAGGACGGGGACAGGGACGAGACGGGAGTCATTGCCCTGAAGCGGGTACGGGGTGGATATGGAAACATAATTCCCGTCCTGCTACCAACTCTGTTTAAAGTTAATTTCAAATTTAAGTTTTTTATCAAATAGAAATAAAAGATTTATCATCATTTTTAAAGAGAAAATAAGTTATTCTTAACAAATTAAGAAAAAAATGTAATAATATTTACTAACTGAAAACATAAAAAATAAAATAAAAGCAAAAAACAAAACCTGCCCGCCCCTCGCCATTTTAACCTGGTATAGGGACAGGGTAATGTGAGAAAAATACTTGACAGGACCGTGGTGGGAATGGCTGATCCATTCCATACCCGTCCCGTCGCCATCCTAGTTTCTACACCCATTTGAAGATTTATCAAGTAGAAGAAGAAGACAAGTATAATTGAAAAATATATATATCGCTTTGAATGGTAAATTAATTCTCTGAGAAAAGATAAACCACTCGTTAAATATTCTAAAAGAGCAACCAAAATCAAATCTAAAAATTCTTCAATTCTCAAACAAAAGTAACAAGAATTCTTACCCAAATAACAATGCAGTTGTTCACCTGCGTTAATCATCAAACAACAGCAGTGTTATGCACAACCATGGTGATAATTTGATTTAAGCCAAAAAATTTAGAAGAAAAAATGAGCATGCAAAATATATAAACATGGAGAACCAACCGTCCAAAGGAGAAAAAACCCAAAAAATTGGAAAGATCAAAATGGAGAAAAATATTTATGAACCTTTTCTACAGAAAGAGTGAGACAGAAGAGCTTTTCATTACAATTGTGGTTGCTAATCTATAGAGAATTCGAGAAGAGGTTTGAGATTTCATGCTGTTGTGAAGGGCGTTAATTATTAAGTTGACAATTTTCTTATGAGGAATTTATGATAAAAAAATTAGATTTTTAGAATCCAAATGAGTTGAGGACACCTTTGAACGATGCTATTTAGCATAATTAATAATCAAAAGTGATACATACAGAGCAAGTTATACGTCAACTTGTATAGCCCTCTCACATATCGCGGATCCCACACATGTGAGAGGGCTGTAATTTTACCGCCCTCAAATGCTGCACAAGTATTTTTTTTTTTTTCTTTTTTTTTCCCATCAATAATACAGCCTTATTAAAGTTGGTGTCAGGTGGCTTTAAAATGATAGAATTAATTAAATAAATCATTTATTCTTTATATTTATTTGAGCCTATCATTTAATGACGCATATAATAGTGTCAACATTGTTCTTTCAAAAATTGAGTTGGAAAAGACTGAATTTGGATTTTATTTTAATTTGTTAAAGAAAAACTCTTGTTTTGATTCTTAATTTGTTTCTCGTCAATTACTACTCTTCTACTTGTTATGGATTTTATGAGATTCTTCAATATCCATTCCTGTAAATTTAATAATTATTTTCATAACACGAATTTTCTTAATTTACAGTGTCACGTTAGTTGGAGATCTCTGTGTCTAATATTATGTTTTAATTTGTAATATAAGGTTAAAAAAAAACAATTTGTGTTTTTCAAGCATTGAGTACTTCCTATTCATAAACCAACTACTTGTTTTCTAGCAACATCATATGCAAAGTTTCTTAATTAGAGTGTCTCCTTAGAGATCTTCCCCCTTAAAATAAGTATATTCTATTATATCATACAAGAGAAGACTAAGATTCATCGTTTCTCAAGAAAGCATGGCTGCTTTCTACTTATAAACCAAGTACGTGCAGTCATTACTTAATACTAGAAAATGAATTTTTGCAATGGGCAGAATGTGATGCCATAAATCTTTTGCAAAGTGCACATGTACATAGCTGCGGCTTTCAATATTGTCATAGATTATATGGATATAAAAACATATAGTAAATGTCGTTAAAGATTGAAAGCACATTGTCATTAACATTTTTCCCACATGACTTTGCACACTTCTAGTACTCATTTGCACGTTGTCATTAATATTTCATTGCTAACAATAACTTGAAAACACAAGTTAAAGAATTATTCTCCATATACATTTATACTTTTGGCAAATCGACAATAGTTCATTTTTTATCCTTCTACAGTCACGCCCATAGAAGGAGAACCGATTGTGAACTATATGGAATTTTTCTTAGAGCCTCGTAGTAACAAAAGTACCCGCATGAAGGGAAAACAACACGATTTTAGAACATCGTCCTTGACGCGATTCCCTGAGACTTGCTTTAACTCTCCTGTTTTTTTTATGTTATTGTTGAATTCTATTATAATGTTATTTATACTAGTTATATTAATTGATAATCTATCTAATAACATCATTATCCTCGAGTAAAAATACTAGTAACAAATAAAGTAACTTCTGAATCAATTTTTCTCCTCTGATTCCAGTTATAATGAGATATGAATTCTTTAAACCTCTTTTAAAGATGCTCCATTGATTCAGTGGTATTTTTTTCCTTATCCAATTTTGGTGCTTGATTGACGTACAACTTCTCTTTAGAGTTCTACTTTCCAGTGCCTGAGATCCATACCAGTACAGCCAATGTAGTGCCTTTGGTACATATGTGACTTACATGTGTTCCATCATCTGAAGATTGAATTATGACACCCTTTGATGAAGTGATCCATTCCATATGTGGTCTTATTCTGATTGCCTGCTTGAAGAAGACAAATTACCTACCATTAGCAAAGGATGCATCGACATTCTATAATATAACGAAGTTTTTACTCTTAAGTAGTGGAAAAGGTCAAACATGGAGGGGCTCAACAGTTACTATTCTTTCAGAGGCTGAACCTGCTCACCAACTTTAGGTCAGTACTCCACTAGGAAAGATCCCTTTCTTAATTTTTTTTGAGTGTAGATGCCGGGAACCAAGCATCTCGACAATCTCCTGCAGCAAATGAGACCTTCTTTCCTCACTTACATGAAAAAAATCGTCGAGCTTTTTGTAATTTGAATTTTTTGAACAATTTGAGTTTGCAATGATGCCACAACATTGTAGCATTTCTGAACACATTCATGCATCGCAATCGCCATATTGCTCCATTCTTGGGGACCTTGAATTTCAGTCTGTTATGCAAAATTTCTTCTAAATATTTGATATTGTGATGACATAGTGATGAATTCAACATTGCATTCCACGTTCTTCGTATTTCATTCATCTTGTGCAAAAATTCCTTTTGTCAAGAATCGAACTCTACAGTTTCTTGTATCTGATCAAGCTGTTGATTCACTGCTATTTTCTCCCGATACAAATGATTCGAATAATACACCAACACAAATACTAGTAAGTCTACAGAAAAATTGAGAATGTAACAGATAATGTACTGCAGAAAGAAAAAACAAAACGCCTCAACTATCAGAAAATTAGATACATCAACACATGACAATCTTTCAAGCAAAAATTAGATAATTATATATATCAACTATCAGAAAAAACAAAAATTGATGAATGTTATAATCAAGTACAACATTAATACAATAATTATATATATACATGAGCTGCACCACATAAGTTGAGTCTCTTTCAAGCCATAGATTGTGCATGCCAAATTAACCACGTGGCACCCCTTGTACCTTTGCCTCATAACCAAATTACTAAATTGTGGTTGTTAATAGTAGGTTTGGATGAAAGGGAATTAATTAATTAATACTAGGAATTTAAGGAATAAGTTTTCACAATGGAATTAGATTAAAGTTTGAAGAAAGAATACAGAAAGATCATAAGAAGGCCTAGATCAAGGTGCACGTTTGGCTAAGTTTCAAAAAATTTGAATTTGTTTGCCGGTGAACATATTAAGACTAAACTCTACTTTTAGAAAGTAACTTTTTTACCTAAAAGAAAATAAAAATAAAGTTATCTAAACAAATAGACTAAATTCGGTTTAGAAAATAAGCAAATGACCACTGCTCCAGCTTCTAGAAATTTAGTTTAGCCAACTGATTTGCTGATACGTCAACGTCGACCCCATAGATGCGCTGATCGCTATTTTCACATTTAAGTTTACATAAATCACCTAGCCGAATATCGTTTTTCTGACAAAATTGTTGCCATCCATCTACAAGTGCTGTAACATCCAATATTACAGTGCACAGAACTGGCCAGAGTCTGCCAACTGAATCTCTAAGGAAGATGAGCTGCGAGTTTCCTCCCTCGTTTCTTCCTTCAAATGGTGGAAGAAATGTCGACAATTCCTACACAAGCACGACAAATATGTCAAAAGCATTAAAAGCGAAAGATGCAAAAAAAGGCATCTGGCGGCCTATTTTAAAAGGGAAGGAGTTTCCCGTGTTTAAGCAAAATTAGAGGGGGCAAACAATTATTTCTTCATATTATCCCTCGCCCCACAAACTGGATTTGCGAACGCACTATTTTCATAAATGATCGGCACAAAGACTTGAACTTTGTTCATTTGTCTGATGCCACTTTTTACCACCTCATTTAAAAGTTTAAGTTGTTAGATTAGCGTTTTAATAAAATATGATGAAAGTATCAATTTCAATCATTCCATCAACCAAATCTTTGATATCTTGGTCAATAATACGCATATGGAAACCTTGATATCATAACCAATATCCATATTCTACGTGTCAGATAAAAATCCACCTTAAAAGGGAGGCAAGTGCAAAATAAGCATAAAAACGGAAAAGCTATGTAAACTTTACACAATTCAAGTTTATCAGTTACTGATACAATTTTATGAAGAAAAAGAAAGAGTAGCTATAAGTAGAACAAAAATTCAAATTTAAAGAGGGCAATCTGGTGGTAAGGAAATTTTTGCAGCACACGAACACAAAAATCGAGGAATCCATTCGATAGGGAGATACAGGGGGTAAAAGAATTTCGAGTGATAAATAACATACCACGTAAGATAGGCATTTCACTTCCACCAAAATGGGATTGGCTGCAACACATGGGACCAAAGCAGATTGCATATCAGATTCAGTTTTTACAATGCTGTTGATATTTCTCACAGCTCGAAAAGGCATTGGAGCACATTTGATTCCTTTGTTTTGCTCTTTTCCTGTATTGTATCAATGAAATAATAAGCTTCAAGTGTACATGTTCATAAATGCTGCATAAAATATGAATAGAGGTATAAAAAACCTATAGATCAAAATGCTGAAGAAAGAGCAAATCCAAGACTCACCACTTGATTTTTTATGACGACCAAAATCTACCTTTCCCATCTTGACTGGTTCTTTCTTAACACAGACTGTTTGTCCACCTGCTAATTTGAAAAAGAAATAGTGATCAAACCAACAGAAGTGTGAAGACCAATTTAAATGAATAAATGTATCTCCTCTATATCAACTTAAACTTTTAGATAAGATGATGGTATTAGTGTAAGCAAAAGACCTCCATTCAAGTCTTGCTCCTGTCCATTTATGAAAAAAAATGCACAAAGGTCTTTAGTGAAAAAATCAATTTGGTCTGCACATGAGTGAGAGAGCATATAGAAATAATAAATGAATCCCTTGTCTAAGGGCTTAAGCTGTTAGATGAGGTCGTAAACACAATGGACGGAGTGACACTAACTACAAATTCTTATTAACTAGATAAATAGATGAAAGTAATTAAAAAATAAATAACACTATTGCCACCTAATTTATAGATGAGCAAATAGTTTCAAAAGAAAATAAAGGAAGAAAGATGTGGATAACAAGATAACACTTGAACTGACTACATAGATCTGCATTGTTTTTCTCGTAAATCAAAAAATTAGAGAGCACATTCCACATGCCATTACTCATACTATTTTCAGCAGTCTTTTGGAGAAATTCCAGAATGAAAACCAACAGAATGGCCACTGTTATGATCTTCCTGTTTTTCAGCCATTTGAATGTCACTAGCCTTCAATTGAGACAACTTATATTGGAATGATCGGGGACCAGGGAGGAGTCAGGATTTTAATGGGGACATAAATATTAATAAAAAATTTGAATCAAAACGTGTTTAATGTTATACCAACTTTTGTCCAATATTACTTAGATCAGTAATCAGTAGAACTCTTTGCTAGTGTGCGTATCAATTAAATCCAATTATT